CCTTGGGAAAGGTATGAAACCTCTTCTTTTCTACCCAACTATGGGTAAATAGCAGGACAGACCGGGTTCTATAGCCTTGGAGAGCAACTAGTCTACCGTAGAAAGAAATGGCAACCTACTGCGCGAAAAAAATCTGCCTAGTCAGTCAAAGATACATGATCGCTTAAACGTGTATCACACATAACACATAACTGACTGACTGAAGTGAACATACGTATAACTTGAATAACAGAAGATGTAATTAGTCATATAAAATCAGAACCATTGATTTCGGGATAGAAAACTACATACCTCTCGTATAATACCCACTAACTTAAAAATAAATACCGTTTAAATTTAACCTAAATTTAACATTTTTCCAACTTTTTATACGTTTACGGTTCACTAAAAATAAGAATTTATGGAATTTACTCTGTTATTCTAAAAGGTATGTAAAAGATTCGACAGTTTTTCAAATGTTTGGATGCCAAAATGAACTGAAAAATTTAAAAGGAGGGTGTGCCCCCTCCGCTCTTCGCTGCGAACTCCTTCGATCAAATTAATATATACTTATACATAGCATGTTACAGCCACTCTCATGCCGAAAATCTAGGTTCGAAATTTCATAAAAATCCGTCAAGTATTTTTTGAATCCATGGGTACATTCTTTTTTCGGGGTGGGGGTCCTGTCCTTTGTGTCCCATAAAAATAAATCAAACATAGATCATGACATACCCTATACGTCTACTATCTCTGTAAGTTAATGAAGATCAGTGAACTAGTTTTTTCTTCCTTTCGATTTACAAACAGATAGACACACTGATACACAGATATACAAGCAAGCGTTCATCTTTATTGTATATATATATATATATATATATATATATATATATATATATATATATATATATATACTAGCACCATGGCCAGCGTTGCCCGTGCTTGATTTAAAAATCGTACGACTCATACAGCAATCGCTATCACTTGACTTAAAATATTTTTGCCCTTCCTTCCTTTGCTGTGCTGATGTTGCTACATGCCTTACTTCTTGCCTATCTCACACTGCGAATGTTTTCTAAGCTCTATACTAAACATTAAATCTGTTACGAAAAAAGAACTAAACAAAATGAACACAAAACGATCAGACTTAAAAAAGGATTCGTAACTGGAAAAAACGAATGAAAAAAGAATGTTAACAACAAATACATTTTCACACCTAACCCAGTTCTGCGGAATCAGAATCAACGTTCAGTTTAAGCAAGCGAATGAGCCAATTGGAGTAAAGTGCCATGCAGATTTAAATTTTTTCCACGAATGCAGCTATCGATTTTTTTTTTGCATGCTAGCATGCTAGTTAACATTCGTGTCAGTCAGCTGTTGGCTCTCACGCTGGCCAATAGAATCTTCCTGCCTGTTTGTGGCAGCCAGCTATAGGCTCTCACTCTGGCCAGTACAAAATGGCCGCAAACTACATGAAAACTGTCGTAGAAGCAAGAAAAATAGATTATTTCCACTATCGATGGGAGTTGGGAAATGCAAGTTCGGTGTTGGCCTTCCCGCTTACTTGGAGCATGTGCATGTAAATTTTGGTGCAAATCCGTCGAAAATTGTGGCCGTGCAATCGTTACACACACACACACACACACACACACACACACACACACACACCTGCCTTATATATATATATATATATATATATATATATATATATATATATATATATGGTGGTACACGTTTAAAAAACCTCGGAAAATTCAACTTGCAGCAGGACAAATTGGTACCCTAGGAAAAATGGCGAATAAAAAAAGAAAGAACCAAGAACATTAAAACAAGGCAAAAACAATCGTCAAGTGTTTAAGTGTTTTTGTTTTTTTTTGTTTTTTTTTTGTGGTTGTTCAATAAAATACATCCCCTCCGTTGTTTGTATTTTGTTTTTTTGTTTTTTTTTGTCAGGTGGTCAATGTTATTTTTAGTTTAATCAATATATACTGTTCCATAATTTTCATTTTTAACCGGCTTTAACCTGAAGATCCGTTTAGTTGAAACCTAGACTCCTTAGGATTATCTTATATATATATATATATATATATATATATATATATATATATATGTAATTATTTTTTTAAATGATTTCTTAGCTACATAAGAGTTCTCATGATTCAAAAACGTGAGCCGAAAACCTGAATATAATTATTAAAATTAAATTGAGTTAATGTATCAAGCCCTGTTTCATCCTCAAGCGAAAGCTTTACTTCTGTATTGAACACTGTTTTTTAAAAATAAAAACAAAAATGCTAAAGAACTCCAGATTATTTAACTAACGTGTTCTCTCCTATTTTTCTATGTATCTCCACACACACGCACACACACACACACACACACACACATATATATATATATATATATATAATTTACTATTTTAAAATATACAACCAAATGGTAAAAAATAGGTTATGACAAAAATTCCTTGCCCTCACCGTGAAACATTTACCTAGAGACAGTAAACTCAGTACAATTTTAACAAAAATACCCTAAAATTAAGTTACAGTTGTACTCAAGACTTAGAAATGATTATTAAGAAAAATAATGCTAATATTTTGAGTAAACACTAATGAGTTTATACCTTGAAGTTTCAGCGCGGTAAACTATACTCGTAGCGATTTGATGGCAATGAACATTTCTGTGTTGAACTTGGCAGGGTTTAGGGTTGGAGAGAAAAAAAATGACGCCTTTGTAACGAGGCATCTTTTACTTAATCTATCTCAGAATGTTTAACATTCTTTTTCAAAGCTGAAATAGTTTCTCCTCACGGCCTAAATTTCACCTTTATTTAACAAATATTTTTGTGACGTCTTCCCCCGGTCGCAGCGCCGACTGTGATTTTCTATCCTGATCTACCACGGCGCCAGTTGTGACGTCCCTAAACAGCACCAATTGTGACGTCTTCGCCGCGGCGTCAGCTGTTCGCTCCTCGCTGCTCCGACCGGGTGTCGCTGCTCCAAACGTGACGTTCTAACCCTTTGTTGATTCGGGTAGGAATCTGGTTAGATTGATACCAGCCTCGCCGTTCCCAACCTGCTTCCAACGCCTGGTTACCAGGGTAACTGCACTGATCTCCAGTCTGCCTACCCACGTTGTGAATTGATCTTAGACAGACGAGATCAAACAGGGGTTGGGGCCGTAATGCAAGCTGAGTTCAACGGGGGTGATAACACACAAATATGTATAAAAGAAAATAAAATGAAAACTCACAAAGTTCAAAGTATCAAAGAAAAGGGTAACAAACTTTTTATGTCTATTTGTTCGGTACATAGGACTATGTCTACTTCCCGACCCGTTCTGTGGATTGTGGTACGTCGCTTTCGCTAGGCAAATTCTAACGCTTCAAGTTGTCTACTCTCTAAGAAATTTGTGTTTCGGTGTGTCTTTGGATGAAAGTCGAAAAAAAAACTTATCTCTGTGGTCTGGTTCTAAGTCGCTCTTCAAACTACTTGTTCTTGTTGGAAGAAGAGTCCAAAAGTGTGCGGGAATCTTGGTCAGCTATTTTGATGCGGTTTCAACACTGGGCGCTGATCTCTGCTTGTCGTCTGGAGCTCAAAACTTCTCGCCAGGGTCCGCGGCTGAACTCTAAAACTTCTTCTCTCCAACTTGGGTCGAACGAACTTCTTCTCGCCCGCTCGGAACGAACTCTCGGCACTCAGGCCAAACGAACTGGCCTCTTCTGCCCGCTTGGGGCGAACGAACTGATTTCTGTCGGTTGGGTTCTCGCTTTTATTGACCCCGTCAAAACTGGGGTGGGTCTGTCGGCACCAGGGGTTCTTCGATAATTCTAAATACGTTTCTTATTTCTGGTTAGGGATTTTTTTACTCCTTTCCATTTTCGGTAACTTTCCTCTCACTCCCACTCTCTTACTGTGCTTCCGAGGGGCGTGCACTAACTTCCCCACTTCTTCGTATCGGCTCCTCACACTTACACTTCTGATAGAGGCGTCGACCGATTTTCTTTGTGCGTCACGTGATCGCTCTCGGCCAATGAGGTCCTGGTCGGGTATCTTTCCTCCTCCTTCGTGCGTCATGTGATCTACTTGGCCAATGACGTTTTAGTCGGGCGTGAACAATCCGCGGTTTTGTTTAGGGAAAGAAATACCTTGCTCAACAAAAAAAAAAAGTTAATTAAATCGCCCTTATCATGAGCGACTGAGATGACACTCTCGGCTTTTTAACACGTGGTATTTGTCAATATCGCTAATTTATCGCTAATTGGATATGATCCAAGAAAGGAATTTCCTAGGCTAGCTGGCGTTTCTGAAGCGAAATAAAATTATTTCATTTTCCTTTCGGCTCATGTGTTGATAACGAAAATCTTTATTATCGCAGGGCAAGCGTTTATTCTGTCAAAAGAAAGAAAAATTTTGCCAGTGAAAAACATCTTGGGTGGGATTTTTCTAATTCTGAAGACTGTCTGTGTTTCGTCAATGTTAAAGAATGGTCTCTCCCTTCCCCGGGTGACATGCAATTGATAACAAAATTCCATTTTTCGTGGACACGCGGAAATCGGTCAAAAGCTTGTTCGTAGGTGACCTAGATATTTTCGACATCTGCTACCTATCAATTCTAGCCGTTTGTGTGTGTGTTCGCCTATGACCCGTTTTCGTATTATTTTTCTTTCTTTCTTCTTCGTTTTCTCTTTCTTTCTCCCAAATTGCTTGAATGTTAAGAAAGAATTATTCTTAAAACCTAAAATATTTTTCGGCCTTAAATAATTATTAAATGGTTGATAAACCGTAAAAAACAAATCATATATCTATAAATATTTCTTTCAAATCGTCAGGATGCATGGTGCCACATTTTGAATAATCAGTAACTATATAACCAAATACAAAAAGAGTTATCGCTGGAAAGATCTCGATTCGAACGTGAAGTTGGTCAAGAATATTTGGATCCCGGGTGGGCTGTTCAGATTTTAAAGATAGGTAGGACCAAGAACTTTTCAATATCCAACTTCCATAGTATTAATCTGAATGACTAACTGGCTTGCTACTACAATACTAAGCAGCACTACAACTCCTGCTGTTCGTATATTTGTCGACCATTCTCCTTCAAGCACGTTCACTAGCTCGCAAGCTAACAACTTGACTCTAGGCAGGCTTATTGTAAATGATAAGTAGATTTTTATTCAGTGTCACTGGTTAGCTTTTGAATCCGTTTAACATCAGGTACTTCAATATTCATAGCAGCTTATTTATACAATCTACAATAGTTACATCAAAGCAATACCAAAGGAAATTTATAAAAAAATGATGAATGTTTATTTATTCATCCGTCAGATTTTATTACTTAAACGCTATTTTTAGAGGATGCCCGTATTTGAGTAGACGCTCCGTTTATTTATTGAACAGCATATTTATTTATTTTCGTATATTCAATTATAGAAATCTTATTAAAGAAATTAGTGCGCTCTCCGGCAGGGGAAATCGTCGCTAGGTCCGACGCACATTTTTCCTTTGCCTGGGTGTGGGGGGATGCCGGTTCGAAGCCTGCCGGAGCGTGCATATTTTTCCTTAATTAGATTTCCCGCCATCTGTTCATGCAAGTTCGTTAGTTCGCTGCCTACGTCTATCTTTCTTGCTCCCAATATGAAGATTAAGTTTACATCCTTCCTCACTATATAACCAAAGCAGTTCAGCTCTTTTTTTCCTGATTTTGAGTATAAGTGTCCTTTTTTGTTACCATATTCTTTAAGACTTATTTTTTTTTGTTTACTCCGTACGGAATTTACTCCGTATATATATTTATATATATATATATATATATATATATATATATATATATATATATATATATCCAAGAGGATAGAATCCAGGTAGAGCTCAATGTCCAGGACTTAGCAAGCCATGCTTATAATTTATTACATTGGAATCGTAATCACGATCCAATTCATCAGACCTACAAATTCAAGAAGAGATTGGAATATATATATATATATATATATATATATATATATATATATATATATATATATAAAAGATAAAAAGGTTCAAACACTAATATTCCATGCTTATAATTTATTACATTGGAATCGTAATCATGATCCAATTCATCAGACCTACAAATTCAAAAATTTCAATGTAATAAATTATAACCATGGAATATTAGTCTTTTGAGCCTTTTTTATTATATTCTTACTCTGTCCTGGACATTGAGTTCTACCTGAATTCTATCCTCTTGGAAAATTATCTATATATATATATATATATATATATATATATATATATATATATATATATAAAAAGTGAATATTGAAGTCAAGACTCAGAGGTCACAGGCTGTTTCATGCTAGATACAATCGTCAGGCGGCCTAACGATTGTGTGTAGCATGAAACAACCTATTGCCTCTGAGTGCTGACGTCAATGTTCACTTCTATATTTGCATACGCTCTATCTCTGATATTGAGCACTTTATCCTATAAATATGGCATACCTGCATACTATATTTCTTCATATATATATATATATATATATATATATATATATATATATATATATATATATATATATGTGTGATGTGTGTGTGTATCTGTCTATGTCTCTGAGATAAGGTATTATGATTACTTGTATTATTTACATTATTATCCTCATATACACTGCCATCTTCACTGAGGCATTCTTCAGGTGATTAGATTTTCAAACCAAAACTTTTATTTCGTCTACAGGGGTAGATTGTGCCATACCCACTTCCGGATGACTCAGTTATTTCCCTTTAACTCAACTCTCCAAGTTTTTGGTTGAATACTGCTGTGTCCTTGTCTGGAACTCACAACTCTTTGGGTCTAGTCACTGCATCTAACCAACGTGTTTATTCACTGGGCCATGTTGTTCGCTTCGAAACTACAATCAATTGAAAAGGACCGGAGCGCACTCCAGCCGAAACTTGTAAATATAGCAATGAAGATGGGGATAACAGTCCAAATAATGTAAATAATTCAAGTATTATATATATATATATATATATGATTGTCTGCTCATTTCTGAGTACATGCTGGGTTGTTGTACAAGCCCGTTCAGGTAGTGATTGTGAACCAAACTGGGTGTATACAGCAACTATGCTAATCTTAACTTAATTTCAATGTGTGGGCGAGAGCTAATATCGGGATTGATCGACAGTTGGGCAAAGCCATTACATTCATACCCTCGGCCACGATGACTTGTGACTTCTTGCTAGCCCAACTATCGACGTTTACTAAAAACACAGCTTCGTTTAGGCGGCTTCGGTCAACAAGTAGTATGGTTTCCAGGATCTTCCCAATGGTTCCACATGCGTGAAACGACCCTCCAGTCTAATATTCGCAAGAAGTTATCTCTTTGATTGTAAATGTGTGTTTGTGAGTGAGAGAGAGAGAATGAGAGAGAGAGTTGGTCCTTATTTGTCTGTCTCTATTTAAGGAATGATGAAGGTGCAGTACCTAATTGTTGAATAATAATAAATAATAATAATAATGATAATATATATATATATATATATATATATATATATATATATATATATATATATATATATATATATACAGCGAGACTCTTTGCAGATGCGAATTGAGTCACTGTCGGTCACTGGGCGTGTTTCTAAAATAAATATGCTAAAAATCCACTTTCATCCCTACCGTGCGCTGACGGCTTAATAGTTAGAATCTCCGACTGACACCAATTCAGTCGGATTATGATCTAGCTAGAGGCAACCGGATGTCTAGCCACATTGATGAGCTGTGAAACAGCGAAACAGTCTGTCTGTGGATGACGTTATATATATATATATATATATATATATATATATATATATATATATATATATATATATATATATAAAGCGCTGGTATTTTAAGGAATAGTCTGTTCCAACGATCTGTTTGTCCTACCACTGTTGTAAGATGGAGACCTTGAAAAATAAAAATAAAAAAAGCTCAAGGCCATATTCTATTTTTTCTTCCGCACTTTCTCTTGTGATAAACCTATTCCAATTTTCAGAAACATTTTTTCTTCCTTCTGTTGCTTTTCTTTCTGTCTCTCTTTCTTTCTTTCTTTCGTTCTTTCTTTCCTTCCTTTTTTTTCCTTCTTTCTTTCGAGCTATCTATTTTGCATTCATTTTCTATTTCTTTGGAGTAGTTCATTCTCTCTCTTTTTCCTCCTTTTTATATTTTAGTACCTTTTATTATCTCTTTTATCATTCATTTCTCTTTCTTTTTTTCTTTCTCTTCTCTTTCATCTTACTTTTCTTTTCTTTTTTTTCAATTATTTTATATTTTATTTCCTTTTTTCTATTTTTTTCTCCGTCTTACTTTCCACCTTTTTGTTTCCTTCTCTCCTATTTCTTTCTTTTTCTTTTTTTCTTTATTTCTTTCAGACATTTTCTATTTATTTCTTTCCAGTTTTTTTTCCTCGTCTTTCTTTCTTTTTTCCTTCATGTTTCTCTGTCTTCCTTTCTGACCATTTTCTCTCTCTGTTGTCGTTATTTCTTTCAATCTTTCAGTATTTTATTTCCTTCCTTCCGCCATTTGTCTTTTCTTTCTTTCTTCTTTTATTCTCTTTCTCTATTTATTTTTGTTACTTTTCTCTTTCCTTTCTGGGCTTTCTCTATTTCTTTCTTTTTCTTTGCTTTTTTCATGTTTTATGCTTTATTTCTTTTTTTTAAATCATTTACTTTTCTTTCTTTCTTCCTTTTTTTCCCTTTCTTTCTACGTGTCCCTTTTCTCTTTCTTTCTGTTTTTTCTCCTTCTTTCTTTATCTCTTCCCATCATTTCATACTCCATTTTTCTCCCCCTCCTTTTGCTTTATTTCTTTATTCTTTATATTTCTCTTTCTTTCTGTCATTCTTTCTTTCTACCTGGCTCTTTTTCTCTTTCTTTTCTCTTTATTTCTTTCAATCTTTTAACATTTTATTTCTTTCTTTCAGTCTTTTATCTTTTTAATTTTTTCATTTTTTTTTCTTACTGTCTTTCTTTCTTGTTTTCTTTCTTCCGTCATATTGTTTTTTTCTTTTTCTCTCTCTATACTTTTTTATTTCTTTATTTTTCATTCGTTTTATATTTTATTTCTTTCCTTTTATCGTGTGCTTTGTCTTTCATTCTTCTTTTTTTCCTTTCTTTTTTTTAATCCTTTCTTTCATCATGTCGTTTTTTTCTTTTATCACGTCTTTTCTTTCTTTCTTTCTTTTAAAAATTTTATATTTTACTTTTAATATTTTGCTTTGTATTTTTCTTCCTTTTTTTTCTTTGTTTCATTTTTCTTTCATTCTGCGTTTTATTTTTCTTTCCTTTTTAACCTAGGAAGGGTTACTAAATGAGGAATAACCAAAATGGAGGTTAGAAATGAAAAAGTTAATCTTTATAACATCAACAAAATACAATACTCGCCAGCGCCGTGAAGTAGGTAAACCACTGCTAGTGATGGACTACTTAGACAGCATATTACCCCCACTTACCATAGTGTCCAACGTGTTTATGAATCTGGTTTGGTTTGTTTGTTTTACGGCATATCAACACCGAGTTATTTAATGCCGACAAAATTTTCATTGCTGGTAATATTTTGTTTTGTCAAAAATCTATTTCTGGTAATAATTTTTTTTTCAAAAAAGTGTTGCTGTAATAAATTTTTTTTTCAAAAAGCTAGTAATATTATTTTTTCTTTTCTCCAAAAAATTATTGCTGGAAACCATCCTTTACAAAGTATTTCTGGTATTAAAATACGTTTCTACACCTTCACAGTTCCGGGGCCAACCACCTGCCCACACCCGGGACCCCAACAGGTGCCACCACCCCGGGTCAGGGCGGACTCGGGAACACCAGCAATTAAGAGTCTGTTTCCACGCTTCTCAAAATCATCCGATCAAGGGCCTTGCTGCTGGACGTAGTTTATCGTCATACCCAGGACGGCGTATTAATGAGGATTGGGATATATACATTAGTATTCATAGGTACTGTATATAATCCCTTCTCTCCTTTTTCTTTCTTTCTTATAATAATCCTTCTTCCTGCTGTTATTAGCTAATTATTGTCCTACACATTGTGATGTACCACGTGTGAATCAAAACCATTTCGAATTTGACGATTTAACAAAACTACCTAGCTAATCTTCAATGCGCCATTCCCCTTCAGGACGTTGGCGATTATGGCTCTCCACACTTTCCTATCTTCTGCGTCTCTTAATAATCTTCATCTTTTTGTTACCTCTCCTAAAAACTGTACCGCAATCCATTTCCTCAAGCTCGCTCGATACAAAGTATTGAAGAGGAATAGACAGTTGAAATTCCTTGGGTATATAATGAGGAGAGGAGTCACGGAAAATTTGATACTCGCGGGACAGATTGATGTCAAGCGTGACAGAAATAAACGACTCATGTTGTTACATAAAAAATTATAAAAAATAATTCACATACATCGATATTTTCTCTGTTTCAAGGCCACAAGTGCTGTGCTTCCAGAGAGTGTCGAAACATTACATTTACGATGTGAGCGTAAACCAAAATGAGGTATACTGCATGACTTTCTTTCTTTGTTTCTGTAGTTCTTTTATTCTATCTCTCTCTCTCTCTCTCTCTCTCTCTCTCTCTCTATATATATATATATATATATATATATATATATATATATATATATATATATATATATATATATGTGTGTGTGTGTGTGTGTGTGTGTGGTGTGTGTGTGTGTGTGTGTGTGTGTGTGTGGAAGCACAGTGGAGCAGTGGATAACGGCTTGGATTGAGAAATCGCAGAGCCGAGTTCAATTCAGTCGATCCATTACATTCACTTACGTGCTAATACCCTTGGGAAAGGTATGTATCCTCTTCATCTCCCTCCAGCTATGGGTAAAATAGCAGGACAGACTGGGTTCTAAAACCTTGGATGGCAACTGGTCTAGGAGAAGGACAACTCTGAATTCAAAACCTGCGGAGGGGCGTTTGGGAACCTTGTGCCTCGGGATGTCGGTTTCCTGGGGACTTATCGGCCTGACCCTCATACGTCGAACGCGACAGGAGAGTCGATTATATATATATATATATATATATATATATATATATATATATATATATATATATTACCTTCCTTACTCTTCTTTGTTTAGGTCGATCTTTCTTTTCTTTTTTCCTTTCATTTTTTCTTCTTTTTTCTTTCTTTGCTTCTTTCCCACCTTCTTACTCTCTTTCTTTTTTCTCTGTTTTCTATATTCTTTACTCTTCTTTCTTTCTTTGGTACGTTCGTTTCTTTCTTTCTTTCTTTCTTTCTTCATTTGTCACCTTCCTTAATCTTCCTTTTTTCTTTGTTTCGGTCGCTTTTTCTTTCTTTGCCACATTCCTTACTCCTTTCTTTTTGTTCGCTCGTCCTTTGTTTGTTTCTTTCTGTCTTCATTTTTTCTTTCTTCCTTTCTTTCTTTCTTTCTTTCTTTCTCTCTTTTCCACATTTCTTACTCTATTTTTATAGCTTGTTTCGTTCGTTCCTTCCTTTTCTTTCTTTCTTTCTTTTCTTTCTTTCTTTCTTTCTTTCGTTCTTTCTTTCGTTCTTTCTTTCTTTCGTTCTTGCCCACCTTCCTTACTCTTCTTTCTTTCTTTGATTCGTTCGTTCGTCTTTTGTTTGTTTGTTTATATATTTTTCGCTCTTTTTTTTCTTTATTTCATTCATTCTTTCTTTCATTTTTCTTTCTTTCCCATCTTCCTTACTCTTCTTTCTTTCGTTCTTTCTTTCATTCTTTCCCACCTTTCTTACTTTTATTTCTTTGAAATCTTTCTTCCTTCTACTTGAGTACGTTTGTCTTTTTCTTCTTTCAGTCGCTCTTTCTTTAATGTTCTTACATTCTTTTCTTCACTGTTTCAGTTGTTGTTCTTTCAGTTCTTTCATATTTCTTTCCTTCCTATTCTAGTTTCTTTCTTTCTTTTTTTTTCGTTTGCTCCCTTTCCCCTTCTTTCTTTCGTTTTTTCTTTCAAATATTCTTCCCTTTTTCTAAAATGCATTTTCAATCTTTCCTTCTTTCATTGCTCCTTACCATAATTCTCTTACTTTGTTCTTCACTGTATTGCTTATTTTTCATCCATTTCTTCTTTTTACCTTGCTTCATTCTTTATTTTCTTCTTTTGTCTTTCATCCCTTCTTCCTGTATATTTACTAAGATTAGTTTAATCTCGCAGAAGGCCCAATCGTGAAAATTCGTGTTAGTAAATTTGGAGCCACGCAATTGTCCAATCTTCTGTGTGACTCTTGATTTTTATTTTTTTTTTTTTTTTTTTTTTACTTTTCCCTAAAATCAAATTTATTCACAAGGGGATGCGTTTCGTGCCTGTTTCCACAAGTAAAAAAAAGAATACGATACATCTTTTAAGACAATTAACGAGCAGAACATTTACTGTCTTAATTTGATCAGATGAGAACAGAATCCAGTGATATATGTAGTTGAAAAAAAAAAAAACAAATTCGGAATATACTCAAACGAGAGAGGATTTGAAATGTAAGTTTTCTTCATTAAAATCTTACACTCATTATCCAATAGCGACAAACAGACAGACATACACACACACACGGGCGCGGTTGCGGGCGCAGAAACTCTTACAGTGACATACATATAGATGTGATTGTTGCCTCTGGTACATCAAAATCAGGATTTTGTACCTATTCGGGCTAACATACTCGGCTGACATGGAGTGGATAGACTATATTGAATCCATTGCTAGGTCAGCTGCTAAGAAAGTTGGTTCACTGTGTTGTGCAAGTCAATTTTTCTCTCCTGAAACTATCTCACATATCTATAAGTTTACCATTCGCCCAAAGTGATTCTTGATGCGAATGTTCTGCGAAATCGATACCAGCGGGAAACAACTCTTAAAACCATACCACAGAAATTGTGTAGGCAGAAATGTTTGGAATTAGTTTATAATAGCAGGATCTCATAAATCATTGCGACCCAGGGTTTACACGTAGCTTTGTTAAAAAAAAAAAAAGATTTCAAGATTATGCAGTCTCCTTTTCTAGAAACTGTAACAATAGCTTAGTCGCATTATGAACGACATATGAGATCTGTGTATCTGTCTATATTTCTGAGATGAGGTATTATGTACATTATTTACATTGTTCGATCTATCATCCTCATCTTTGTTTCTGGTAATACTTTTCAATTAGTCTCCATAGTTTCGATGTATCGGGTCCGTATCGATCCTTCAGTATCTGTATATATTTCTGAGATGAGGTATTATGTACACTATTTACATTTTTCGGACTATCATTTTCATCTTTGTTGCAAAGTGTACATAATACCTCATCTCAAAAATATAGACAGATACTGAAGGATTGGTACGGATCGGATACACCGAAAAGACAGATCTGTGGATGTTGAACAAACACCGATCTTCCTGAGCAGGCGTCTGCACCAGGAATTGACTAGCCGCTTTAACAAACGTGTGTGTTCAGAAAACGAGCAGCCCGTCATTACATATATATGTGTATATGTATTTTTCATTGACTTCTCGTTTTTCTTCTTAGTATTTGTCCTCTGCAGCTTATCAACTTTTGCAAGTATTACTATTTAAGCCATAACTGGATGAGTAAAGGTAGATTCATGCCTTTCCCAAGGGTATTTGCACGTGAGTTAATATAACGAATCAAATTGAAATTAAAAGTCAGTTTTCCAGTTAATGATTCCGAGCCATATTCCATTACATAGCGCGCACATCCAAATTTACAGGAACGAATTAAATTCGCGTGCCAAGTATCCACTGTATATGGATATTATTTAGAATGCATCGTTTGAGTCGAACAATCTTGCAAGGAAGAGGAATTACACCCTGACTTATAGTGAAAAGGGGGCATAGTGCAAAATAAGCTGAGAACCACTGCTCTATAGTACCTTGACTTTATGAATTTAGACGCAGTACTAGATTGGCGGCACGGTCTCATCATTTTAAATTGGGAATGGCTTGGTTTAACCGTAAGTTCTATGCTAGCATTTTCTTCTCTTGCACTTCTCGCTTGTGGAACACTCTTTCCGTTTCTTGTTTTCCAATCAAACTTGATCTGCAATGTTATTAGGTCTAACCTGGTATCTCATCTTCAGTCACTTTCGCACTGCCGTAATGTAGCTACTCTCTGACTTTTCTATTAAATACTTTCATAGTAATTGTTTTGATGAACTTTCCTCTGTGGCAGCGGTTCTCAGTCACTGGGGAATTCCTGTGGGGGGTGAGGGGATTTCAGGGTTTCAGATGTGGGGAATTGAGGCCACAAATAGATAGACTCAAAAGCTTAACTCTCGAACTCCCCAAGGCGGCACAACGCGCCATCGGCCCGTGCAACTGAGAGGACATGATATGTTTTCTTTCCGAGAATTCTCTTGTTTTTGCCACTTTTGGTCAGTAATTTGTTGGTTACATTGGTGGCTTTGCTTTTCTAAATTTGGTGATGTAATCATGGACCATTATCTTTCATATTTGTGCATTATATATATATATATATATATATATATATATATATATATATATATATATATATATATATATATTGCTCCATATGCGGTCTCCTTTGTAAATCACTAGCGGGTCTTAAATGCCATAAGATTAGTGCATAAACTTTCATAAATGAATCAATAAGCTGGCAGATCCTCATACGTCAAAACCGACAGGAGAGTCCACTATATATATATATATATATATATATATATATATATATATATATATATATATATATATATTTCAACGTTTTACAGATTTGAAACACATTTACCCTGACTTAATCATTTTTAACTCTAGAACCCATCGCTATACTATCACTATGGCAAATGCTCCGACAGCTACACTCCTTAGTTCCACCAGTTCAGACCTTTACATCTTATACACTTCATGTCATTTACACACGGAGGAATCGTCCCCATTGCATTCGTATTCAAATTGGTACATCTGAAGTTACAGTCATAAAACATCTTTCCGAGAACTGCTACTTTGTAGAAATAGACTTCCCCTGGAGGTTGCTTCCCTGACCATTACAATCTT